TCACAGCTGGGCAGGAGAGAGCAGTTTCAGCCATTGTTGTGGCGGTCCAGAGGTAGTATCACATGCACACAACATATCCTGGCCTGTCTCATGTTTGGGATTGTGGTATGAAAATTATGCCTAGTCTGCTGTTCATACAGAACATACAGTGGTACGAGAAGGGAAACATTTCAGTCCTTGCTCCTTCCTTAGCCATCCTCTGAGCTGATTGTGCCAGTGCAACAGTTTCCAAAAATAGTCAACCTTTTCATGCCATTGCTGTCAGAAGTGCTTGAACTTAGTTTGAATTACAGTTAGTTGAAGCTAACCTCAGAAACAAACTTCATCTGTACTTTGGAAGCAAATTGCAAGAAATCTGAGACAATAAAAAAGGAACTGACTCCTTTCTCTTTTAACCATTTTCTGAATGTGATAGCAGGATCTGGATCTCCACATTTAAGGTGGAGTAGCTATGAAAGCCTCACTAACAAAAAAGGGCAAAATGTCCAAGTTTGCCATTGATGTTACCAGAGCCAAGACTTCATTCCATTGCATATGGCAATGTAGATTTATGACTCAGAGCATCCATAAGTTAAAGCACAGAGAACTTTATTAATTGTGAACCCTCCTGAACTTGTTAACTAACCCAGAATTTATAGCAGATTTTGTAAATATAGTCTATACATGTGTGAACATTATGTCAGTTTTCATTACGTTGAAGTATAACTTCTTGCAAGTCTCAGTTGTTTAGGGACGTCTATCTTCCCCTTCCCACTACTTTCTCCCTTCACCTTATGTCTCCACAGAAACCAGGGATGGATCTTGCAGACACCTACATTATGTTTGTTCGACAAAACCAAGATATACTTCGAGAAAAGGTCAATGAGGAAATGTACATAGAGAAGTTATTCGATGTGAGTAACTACCCTTTCAACGTTTGCTGGTATCACTACTATATCATAAGGGATAAGCTGCACTTTGATAATATCCAACAAGTTCAGATATTCTCCCCTGTTGATAATTTTTTCTCTTGCTTTTTATTTACAAGCTTCAGCTGTCATGGGTGGCCTTTCTTTAAATATTTTCTGCATGAAACTTTTAAATGCTAGGAGGCAGAAGTAAAATTGTTAGAAGATTATTTGAAATAGTCATTTTTCCACTGTGAGTAGTCCAATTGTATTCCACCTTTTGATTTTGAATTTGTTAATGAAGAGAATTGGATTGGTGTGGATTGTGAATTCCATTGCAGACCTAATTTCCCTAAATTAAGAACTTGCACATATCACTCCCTGCTTGTATACAGAAAGAGGCCAGTTATGCCAGGTACATCTATGGGTTTGGCTGGTACTTTTGTGGAATGACTTTTAGCATTTTGTTTTATGGATTTTTAGTTTAAGACTTCTAATTTCTTAAAGTTGACCAAACGTTTATTGAATTGTCAAACTCGTTTTCAAAATTCTAATTTGACTTCTACAAGTTCAGAGTAATCCTCATTCTCAAGGAGCAAGCAGTAATTTCCTCAGGTTGATAGTAACTTCTGCAGCCTCCCTCCCTCCACTCATTCCTTTGCCTTAATCCCTCATCTTTTTGTTAGAAATGATCACATTTCAGTTCAGTCAAGTTCTGACCACTAATTTATGTCTACTATGTCCCTTTCTGAGTTGCCTGAAGGAGAAGCTATAGGCAGCAGAAACTGTATCTGCTGTATAAATTTAAAGCACTTCACATGTAAAATATATGTAAAATAAAATTTCTTTTACTATAAAGTTCGATAAATTTATGCAACAATTATCTCAGCCACTTACAGTTAGGTAGGAATTTGAACAGGGAAAGAAGTCATCTCTGGCATTGTGAAATGGAATTTATTACAAAACTAATTCTGGAACATAATACAGACTTTGAAATGTATGTATTTGTGTCATCTCCTAAGTATTTTAGAAAGCTTTATTGGCAGTTTCATTTAATTATGCAAGTTACAGCAAATGTTTTCATAACAGCAATTCACAGCCTTTACTGTGACACTACAGTTGTGGCAGTCACAGAAGGTCCCATAACATAGACTCTCAGCCATGGTATGTCATGTCAGTGTTTGTTGTTTGTTAGACTGGGTGGTCAAAATAAGACTTATCTCTCAGATTTTATATTTCCAGACAATCCCATGCAGCTTTACAAAAAAAAGTATCATCTGTTTTAATAAGCTAAGTGCTAATATGTGTGAAAAGAATGATTTTATAAAAGCTTTGATGCCCTGCAGGGGCATCAAAAATTATCATCCATCCAGCTGGCACCTTCACAAAGTACTAAAACCATATTAGCAACTTCTGCTTCAGTTTGCTTTTGCACTGAATCTGCAAGCATATGTTTCATTTTCAAGTTTCTATTTTTTTTGTTTTTCTTTGGGGTTATTTCTGCTTATGTTGTCATTTTCTGAATGTTAATAAAATTATCTGACTAAGGCCAAGTCTAACTCTCACTGGAGAGACACACTGACTTTTTTGAGGTAGTGGGATGGGATCAGGTCTCAGGCTATGTCCACAGCAGTGCACTGGCCAGGGACCAGGCACAGGCCTGAGAGCTAGCAAGGGATCATCCACACCAATAAGTCATCAGCACAGTTCCTGGTACGATTTTGGTTTAACACTAATCCAAAGACAGTGCTTCAGTACAGGTGGGTTAGCATGGGTTAAGGACCTCTTCCAAATTTCATTTCAGCAATTAAGCTTTTCAGCATAAGAAAACATCTGTATGGATCCAAGTTCTGATGTAGCACTTGCCTTTGAGATTGCAAACCCATTTCTGACCCCTTTTACTCAGTAGTATGCATTGTGTGCTGTCATGGCCAATGCTTGTATCTGTAAGAAAAGAAAAAGGATGTATGATATGTATTTTGTATGTCAAAAATCTATTTTTATCTTTATTTTTCTTAATGTAGGGTGGTATTACATTTCTGTATAACATCACTCTGGGAGATATAACATTGGACAGGTGCAGATAAAAGCATTAACAAATATGGAAGCTCATAGCATGCAGAAATTTAAAACAGTCATCTCACTCTGTAATTCACCTTTCCTGAGATTAATTCAGATTTAGGACATTATAACTGAGCAAGATTTTGTCCATGACTTTTAATAGGGTTTTTTAAAATTAATGATATAACAAAACCCACTGCTTATAAATTCAAATCCATCAAGTTATATTTCAATAGAAATAATAAGATATATTCATATTTTTATGTAAATATACCTCAAGCCGTTCAACTGGCTACAGTTGCTTTCCCCTTAAAACACATTCTATTAATATGAGCTAAGTAATCATCAGCCAAGTGTAAGAGCATAAGTGCATGTTCCTGTGCTTCATCCAGGGAAACACCTCATCCAGAAAAACAAAAAACCTGACTGTTTTATGTGCTAGAGGTGTTAGTTATAAATACAGACGACATCAGGCCTTGGACACTATTTTAAACCCAAAAAAATGTATAATTTCAAACTATTTATGCACAGATTTCATTGATTTGATTAGGGCTGCTATATGCTAACAGCTATTACAGTGACCAAGCAAACATCAAAGTTATATACCAAACAAAGATCATTTAAATTTAAGAATAGTATTGATACAAGTACAAATGTCTGCCAGTAGGTCACAATATGTTAAGGTTTGGAGTTGTAAAGTTGTTTATCTACCTGAGAAGCCTCAAACTAGGGAGAAGACAAAAAATACATAGTATTTTATGGTGGTGCTTGATAAGCCTAGAAAAGCACTGCCATGCTATACAAAATACAAAAATCAGGAGAATGGAATTTAAGTTTGTGATATGAATCCTTACATATGAGAGAGGTTCAAATTCCAGCGGACTTTGAAAGAAGACTGGGCTGATAGTTTTTTATGCACCATTTTTAAACCATTTAAATCCTGTGCTTCAGTACACCTGCTGATCATGCAGTGGAAGCAAGGTGGTGGTTCTTTTTCCTTTCTTTCCTCTGACAAACTCAACTTCTGTGTGCATTTTATTATTACCTCCTCCAGAAGGCCTATAGACAGCAGGTAGAGCAATATGTCTGGCTGCTCCTGGTAGCACTGGTCTCTCCCAGACGAACATCTTCTTGTTCTCATAACTAGTTAACAGGTTTGAAGTCACAAAGATTTTTCACTTGGTCAGTTTGTCAGAGACACTCACGAATTTTTGTCTTCATTTGCAGTCTGGAACATGGTCTTCTTCCTAAAATCAGCTGGGAATTTTTCCTGTCAAATTCCTCCTGTTATAGAGGCTCAGGTCATTTTTTTCCTACTCTCATGCAGTAACAGTTTCTAGTTGAGGGGGGTGGAGGGGAGGTGTTTCTTTGTTTTTAGGATCACATTTCTTAAAGAGCACTAATGTTTTGTAATATGTTGCACATGAGGATGCTCTGCAGTAGCTCTGAGTTAATGCTTTAGAAACAAAATTGTACTTAATCTTTTTTTTTAACAGTTTGAAAAATACTTATTTTCAGAACAGGCTGTAAAAGTAGAAGCTGGTGAATAGCAAAATTAAGTATTTAGAATAGAATTACACAAACCTAGAATAAATAGAAAATATTACTAATTATTATTAAGGCCTCTCTTATTTATAAAGATAATCTCTTTGATGGATGATGTAAGAGCATCTGTGCAGCCTATCAAAGAACAGTGCTGTATATCTGATCACAAAATTAACAGATTCAAAAAATATCCAACTATGAAATTCCTGTGGGGTCTGGTTGTACCCTCTCAAAATCAATTGGAGTTTTACCATTAACCTTAATAAATGTGGTGCTGTGTCCATAAACATGCTGGGTTATCCTCACTGACTAGACTTAGATTCATGTTTCTACTAGAATTTTTAAAATGGGACCAATAAATCTTGAACTCCTGAGCAAATTTACATTAGACTTCTAAATTAAAAACTATTTCCTTTAAAATTAAATTGGATTTTGATAACAAACCACTTGGAAAAGCATTTTTTTCATTTTGCATAAAGCTGTTTAAAACATTGATGCAATACTTACTTTCTGTAATGATGTGCAGTTCCTAAGTGCCACTTGGTTAGATTCTCACTTTCTTGTACCTGTGAATTGCACGTGAAGTATGGATATTCTTGTTGGAACACAGAAAAAAATAATTTCAGACATTTTTGCTTCAAATTCCTTCTTGGTGTATTTGCCATTAGGAGCATTATCTTATAGTTTATATTTGTGTTGCGCCTGTTGTGGAAAACTTATAGTGTTAACAGATGTATGATTCCAGTTTTATTAAGACTATATATGCAATGAAACCTTTATGCAAAAACTGATTGCTGCTCTAAGAAATAAAGAATGGTTGAAAAGAACAGCTTTAATGCATCAGTGTTTAGTCATTGATATAACTGAAAGGTTTTCCAATTTTTAGGCTTTAATTTCTGGGAAACCTCTTCCCAGGTGTACCATAAAGACATAAAATATTCAGAGTGTGAGCAGGTATTGTTCCTGATTGCCTACCTCTTCTGGGTGCTAAACTGGTGTGGTGTGACAGAGTATTCCTGTTGACTTCACAGGGACTGCTCATGCAGGAGAATGTCCTGGGGGCTTTGGCCTCAGTGCATGGTAACAATTCAACAAGCACTGTAAGAGATGTAAATGGCAGGGAACTCATACGACTTTCTTTGGAGCGCAGAAAGACTGAATGTCCTTATGAGCAATATAAATAATTAGGCACTCCAGATTTTACATAGCTGGTTTTGGCTTTTGTATTTCAAAAGTTCAGATGTAATGCAATATTCTTTTTCTGTTGTAAAACTGCTTGTATTTTGTCTGGAATGTTAATTAAGTGGTAGTGGTTTTCCCATATCAAAACCACTATTTTCCTTTTCCATTAGTAGCAGGGATGGATGATTTAAGTTCAATTATGTACTTGATCTTATTTGAGGTCTTCATTATTCTCCAAAGATTATTATGTCATGTACTTTGCTCTGTGGATAACTGGAGATATGAAGTACTCATCTGATTAATTTCTGTTTGTTGTCATATCTGCAAGTACATATTTAGTACATGCTTTATTCAATTGCATAATTTCTATAGGTTTTCTGACCTTTTACAAAACAAAATATGTTTAAAAATGTGCAAATGCTTCTCCCTGGCAAGTGAGTTAATCTTCAGCTGCTGCTACACAGCTAAGAGGAACACATAATTTAAATGTGAGTTTTCTGTAGTAACAACTCCTTGTGCCATTCATGCCTACCTCAAAAGCACCATTGCTGTAGTATTTAGTATTCAGCAATGTTTTTCTAGAAAACCTTAACTGTGATTTTTTTTTCCTTATTCTCAAATTACTTCCTGTCATGGTAATTTTAATAAGTAATCTTCACTTTTGCTGTTATGTAATTATTTGCAAGTGTGTGATTTGACAAAAGGTCTATTTGGTTAAAGGCCACATTTGAATCAAAAGCTGTGTTTGTATTAACCTCTGAGAAACATGAGAGGACCGTGCCTAATTACTTAAAAAAAGACTCAACAAAAATGGATTGTAGCTTGTTGATCTTCTTATTTCTTTGATAACTCAGAATAATCTTCAAGAAATATGTGGGCTTCTTTCTCAGATTCTTGAAATTTGATCACAGTGCAAAATTGTCCTTTGGCACAAACCCAGAAATACACATCTTTGCATGATGCACCTGGACATATGTGGCAGGTCTGGTAGAATCAGCTAATTAACAACACAGGCTTAAACAGGCACCTCATCTGGCAGTGTAGTTAGTTGCCTGATGGTGCTCAGCAGGATTTGGTAGTGCTTTTTATTTTTCTGTCCTAATGGTCTGCTGCCCACCTAATTTTGCCTTATTGTCAGCCACTACTTACCGCAGCTTGAGGCCCTCCCAGGAGGCTAAATTATTATCAAAGGATTAGGGAGATGTAGCCTTGCAGCTCTGACATTTCTGATTACTTGTCTATGCCAGAACAGTAATTAGCTGTGACTAATTAAGAAAAATGTTCCTGCCATAGAAAACCATTTAAAAGAACTGAGAAGTAGAAAAGCAATTGAAAAGCTGAGCAGTGCTCAGATTTGCTGATGCTCTTTAGATTTTCACCAAAGTCTTAACTCACCTTTAATTATGTCTCATATTTTATAGGGAAAATAGAAAGTTCCTGATATGAGAACCTCTGCAGTTTTCTCATGATCTAATAGCATTCTCGTAATTATGGAACAGTTTGTTGTGCCTTTTGGTAAAAGAATTTTAAAGAAAACTGCAGGCAGTGTCACCAAATGTGGATTGAAAAAGTGAATTATATTAACATGCTCAAATATAGGAAACTCTTCTGCAAGACTGAAGCAACACCTTGCAAATTTACTATTCAAAGTATTTTCAAAGTTCACTAAATTTTTCCTGATGTTTCCAAGTAGGATCACCTCATTTTTTGAGATAGCAATATCTGCAAAAGTACAGCAGTTCATTTGAAATCTGAAAAATGTAACCTCCATCTGATTTCATATAGTGTAGAAGTTTTCTTTGATATTTTTTTCTGGATTATGCTGAGGAAAAAGAGTGCCTGCTCTTGGAGGGTGCTGATTACGCTGCTGTGAATCCAGCAAAGCTCAGTACTGTTGAAATCACTAGGACCACAATACACTTAAAGCAAAGCATCTGCTTCAGAGATTGCTGCTTCAGGATCAGAATATTCATCACTTTGTAAGCTGTTTTAGACTGTAGCTGATAGTGTTTTCTCTAGAGAAAACCATAACACAATGACTGGATTTGTATGGTTTTAATATGATACATGTCTTTACGTGTCTTCATTTTTATGCCATTTTTAGTTTCTGAATTTCCATCTTGTTGGGTACCACACAACCCAAAAAGATATAAAAATGGTTTTCTCAAGACATTAAATATCCCAGAGCCCAGTCTGCATTTAGTATTCATGGAATGGATGTCTGACACCTTTTTCACACCAATTCAGTCACATTATTTAAATTTTCCCAGCAGGGGAGTAAGAAACTTTGAAATAGATATTCTGATATTTTACTGAAAGAGCTCTTTGGGTATAAAAGGGAAATAGAAAATTATTTTTTAGGGCGCTAAAACTCATATCCCAGAATTCAGGATTCCTTATACTGTCCTACCCCCTAATTTCCCTGACTTGTGTGAGAAGCTCACTTTTCTGGAAAGAACAAAAAACAATGTACAAATTGATCTTAAAAAGCAATTTTAAATGTGCATCATGAGTCAAAAGAGGAAAAAATGTGGAAAAAATCCCAAACTTAAGATTTTGAAGCCCATCTTACTTTTTTTCCTGAGTGACAGAATTTTATCAATTGAGTGGAACTATGGGGGGGTTTTGCTTGTTTGTTTGTGGAGGGGCTATAACACTGAAAGCTTCCAGGACAGTTTCCTCATTGATGTTTCTGGTATATACTGTTCATTCATTTATTAACTTAGTTAAATGCATCTATCCATCACTCATGGTATCCATTCACTAAAAACAATAACAATTCTATCAATTAAAAGAGAACTCCTTCCAGCATCCAGGCACAATCTCATCCTTTAGCCTTTTTATCCTGCTAGGCACAAAGTAGCAGCATCTCATTCCAAGCACTGCACTTTTTTTCTTATCTAGATGGCTTGAAATGTGTCTAGCAACTTAATAGAATCAATTGAGCGTGGACAACTATAAAAATATAAAATAGCACTGAAACTTTAGATGAGTCTGTCAGTAAGTGTTAACTGTGGCTGCAGCTTTCACATTCTACACAGTCAAGAGAAATCAATAAGGATTGTACCATTTATATTGTCTTACCTAATGTTTGTTCACCATGAAGTGCCAGGCACAAGCACCATCTAGGGAATATTGATTTCTTGATGTACTGTAATTCACACATGTATAAACAGCAGGAGAACCTTGTGGCTTCTCAAACCTTACTTGTGGGTTTGATATTTATACTTGTATTTCATTTGGGTCAAGCTTAGTTGGAAAAGGAAAATAAAACTCTGCATTAAGTGTTCACAAATAGACACACAACCACACTGTTGATCATATTACAAGAAAAATAGTGCCAGAAAGCATGAAAGTAACCTAGTTTTGCTGTAATGAGTCAGGCATAACAGAGATTGCTGTGTTGCAAATCAAAATAGTACCAGGTGAGGATGCTGCAGAGAGCTCTGACACAGATTTGTCAGTGGAAAGAGCTTCTTCACCTGTTTGCTCATAGGGGAGCTGAAGCTTTAGTGCTGATTTAAATGTGCAGAAGTGTTGGACTATGATTTCTTTTACATAATTTTCAGGTGTTTCGTTGTATGTTTTCTCACTTTGCATTGACTGTCCTTTGTATTAGACTGTACTAAATGTTTATACAATGTACAAGAAAAAAAAGTACAAGTACTGCATAGAAAAATCAGCTCAAAAAAAAGCCCCCAACACAGCTGTAAAATCTGCATAGCTGGAAGAGTGTACACAGGTGACAAGGATGGAAAGGAGCAAACCAGGCACCTGCCCAGTCCAAGGACACTTTGTCCAAAGAGATGAGGGGAGGAGAAAAGGAAGAGAGAGGCAGGAGGCTGGACCTGTGCTCCACATTAGAGCTGCTTGGTGTAGTGCCCAATCGATGCAATGTAAGAGAGGAGTAACTCCACCAGGGTGCATCTCCCTGTCAGCTTCACAGCTGCATCCAGCCCTGTCATGTGCCACTGCAATAACATACAGAGTGAATGGATGATGAGTCAAGATTGCTGAGGTGAAAAGAAATTAGTTGTCTGTAAATATTCACCCACAGGAACTCAGGATGATTTAATACTATAATAAAAATAAGTACTTGACCTCATTCCACAGGGAGCAGGGAGTCTAAGTAGAAGACTCTAGGAGAAGAACTACTAAGCTGAGTGTAAAAGCTACAGCACAGATGTTAATCCAACTTCAGTCTACCTCACTTTTGGTACATGGTACCAAGATGGAGAATATTCCCACTTTCAGGGAGGGACGCAGCTAACAAGAGTTCTCCTCCTGTGGTCTCTTTGACGATGCCTCAGTCCAGGGACTCCCCAGTAAGTTCTAGATGAGCGGGCAAAAGTCAGTGCTCAATTACATACCTTACAGGCAGAGT